GAGATGGACTTTCACTCTTGTTGCCCAGGCTGGAGTGCAATGGCATGATCTTGGCTCACTGCAACCTCCATCTCCCAGGTTCAAGCGATTCTCTTGCCTCAGCCTCCCAAGTAGCTGGGATTACAGGCATGCACCACAACACCTGGCTAATTGTTTGTATTTTTAGTAGAGACGGGGTTTCTGCATGTTGGTCAGGCTGATCTCGAACCCCTAACCCCAGGTGATCTGCCCACCTCAGCCTCCCAGTTTGCTGGGATTACTGGCATGAGCCATGTGCCTGGCCACTACTGGCTAATTTTTAAAAATGTAGTTATTTATTTTGTAGAGACAGGGTCTCACTATGTTGCCAAAGCTGGTTTCAAACTCCTGGGCTCAAGTGATCCACCTGCTTCAGCTTCCCAAAGTGCTGGGATTACAGGCATGAGCAACTGTTCCCGGCCTTGTTTAATGGAGTTGACTCCAGCATTAACAAGAAAAAAAAACTCACTGAGCACCTACCACGTGCCAGACCTTGCTCCACGGTCTGCTTTTACCAATCCCAGTTCTTTTGTATAAGCACAACACATCTGCTAACAGAGGTTATATGCCCACCATTCTTTTCTCCATGACTCCTTCTCAGCCTCAATTTTTTTTTGTAATTGCTGGGTGATAATTTCTATCCTGCGTGCATTATAGCTTCCTGGGAGGGCAAATGCAGTTTTTGATATAAAAGTTCTTTGCAGGCCGTAAAGACCTCAACAAACTGCAGAGACGGTTGCTGTTACTACCCATCTCACATGCTGAGGACTAGAGAGACTGTGGGGTGGGAAAAACTCATAGCAAAAGCAGTATTGGGAAAGGGCAGGAAGAGAAGATAAGGAGGGGATCAGCATGTGGTGTAGGGAGAGAGCTTTTGCACATTTTCCTTTGTTTTGATACTAAATCTCTGGGGCCTGTTATTTCCATGTGGCCAGAGGGGCAGAGGCCCACAGAGGTCATAGCAATTTTTGAAGTTGATGAGCTGAAAACTCACCTGCGCATTGCTTCAGGCCAGGACATTAGTGGAGATGATGAATTTCTCTGCGTGGTAAGATGCACTCTGAATCCCAGAACCTTTGAATGTCAGACCAGGAAAGGACTTGGCAGATTATTTAGTCCAGTCCCCTCTTTACACCTAAGAGTAAAGAGTGGCCCCAGAAAAGATGAGTATTCAGTGTAAGGTCACCCAGCATTTAATGATAGAATCAAAGCAGGTAGCTCCCCATTTGCAGCTGTGGGGCAGAAACAGCCATGCCTTTTTCTGTAAGAATCTCTATAGGATGGCCTTGTCTATTTGAGACCACTGCAGTTTCAGAAAAGAATGTGGCCTCCTTCATCCAAGTTCCCTGGAAGGCTGGGTCATAGGCCTCAGAGACTCTTCTCACATGGGTGAGGTTTCCAGGTACTACAAAAGGGGCCCAGTCTGAGAGCCTTATTTCTGAGCTCGCCTGATGTTTCTGCACTGCAGCCTCCTTAAGGGCGGGAGTCACGGTCATCTGTCCTAGTCCAATTGCTG